GAACTTGATGGCAGCAACGCATCTTTAAAAAGTTGGGACAGGGCCGTGTCTACCATTGTGTAGCATCCCCTCTTCTTTTAACAACAGTCTGTAAACGTCTGGGAAATGAGGAGACCAATTGCTGGAGTCTTGGGAGAGGAATATTGTCCTATTCTTGTCTGATGTAGGATTCTAGTTGTTCAACAGTCCTGGGTCTTCTTTGCCAGATTTTTCGTTTCATTATGCACCAAATGTTTTCCTATTGGTGAAAGGTCTGGACTGCAGGTGGGCCAGGTCAGCACCCGGACTCTTTGTCTGCAAAGCCATGCTGTTGTGATGGATGCAGTATGTGATTTAGCACTGGCAATAGAATGAGTCATGCTGATGAACTCAGTGACTCTAAACATGGCTCTGTCATAGGATGCCACCTTTGCCACAAGTCATTTTGTGAAGTTTCTGCCCTGATAGATCTGCCCTTGTCAACTGTAAGTGCTATTATTGTGAAATGGAAGCACCTAGGATCAACAACAGCTTAAGCCACAAAGCGTCAGGCCATGCAACCTCACAGAGTGGGGCCTCCAAGTGCTGAGGCACACAGTGCCTATCCTCTGCTTTATCACTCACTAAAGAGTTCCAAATTGCCTCTGGAAGCAACATTAGCAAAAGAATTGATCATTAGGAACTTCATGAAATGGGTTTCCATGGCTGAGCAACTACAAACAAGCCTTAGATCAAATGCACAATGCCAAGCACCTGGGGGAGTGGTGTAAAGCACGCCACCACTGGACTCTGGAGCAGTGGAAACATATTCTATGGATGAATCACTTTTCTCTATCTGACAGTCTGATGGATGAGTCTAGGTTTGGCGAATGCCAGGAGAACATTATCTGACTGCATTACGCCAACTGTACAGTTTGGTGGAGGAGGGATGGGGTTGGCATAGGCCCCTTAGTTCCAGTGAAAGGAAAGCTTCAGCAAACCAAAACATTTTGGACAATTGTTTGCTTCCAACTTTATGGGAACAGTTTGGGGAAGGACCTTTTCTGTTCCAGCATGACTGAGCCCCAGTGCACAAAGCAACGTCCATAAAGGCATGGTTGGGTGAGTTTGGTGTGGAAGAACTTGACTGACATCAACCCTACCGAACACCTTTGGGATGAACTAGGACAGATATTGTGAGCCAGGCCCTTTCGTCCAACATCAGTGTCTGACCTCACAAATGCTCTTCTGAAAGAATGGGTGAAAATTCCAACAGACACACTCCAAATCTTGTAGAAAACTTCCCAGAAGAGTGGAAACTGTTATAGCTCCAAAGGGGGGACCAACTCCATATTAAGGCCTATGGATTTACATTGGAATATCATAAAAGCTTCTGGAGGTGTAATGTGTAGATGTCCCAGTACTTTTGTCCATGTAGTAGTATCATTAGGAGGGTCAGTGGCATGCAGGTGAGGTTTGCACAGTGTTGTACAGCAGTTATATCAGTAACAGGAAGTGCTGATTTGTTTGCTATCTCTACACTTGCACATTTGCACAATTCTGGGGCGACTACTGGCATTGTTTAACACATGTTTTGCAACCAGTAATGATTCTGCAGCATTGTAAAAACACTGGCTCCTCATGACTTCTGAGAAGATAATGGTGTAGAAAACCACTAAAGAGGAAGTTTCTTCAGTCAGTTTTAGCTGTGTCGTAAAAAGCATGATTTGTGTCTAATAGCATATTTGACACTTAAGCCATTTTAATGTTAAACCATTGAATTTAATATCAAAATTCTTTTACAAATTCTTGAGTTAAATAAAGTCATAAAGTCTTTGACGGTTTGTAGCTGAGGGGCAGTGAGGATGACCCTTTGGGCAACTGCTAGGTTGGGGAGCTCTCTGACTGCTGTTGTGACAGCTGGCTTTGGGATGCCATTAGCAACTCCTCTGTGGTGCTCTATGGTGACATCTCCAAGGGTTGTACATCTTCATCTTCTCGGCTGTGAAAAGCACAAGCACACTGGCTTTAAATTTGTAAAAATACATATCTAGCAAAGTGCATATATGGTTGACTAACTTTTTTTGTTCAAAGCAGACAAAACTATTTGGACGGTCCCTGAGGAGAAAACTAGGCCTTAGGGCCTTTCTTGAGTACATGGTTGTGAAGCCAGTGTACAAATAGCTGGGATTAAATCAGTTTATAGTCAGGTATTTTACTGCTCTCTCAGCTTAGACCTGGCTAATTAGTTTACATACAAATAATTGTGCTTAACAAATTTATTTTGTTTATTTAAAAGGTACAAATTGGTCAAACTGGCTTATGTTGCTTTTTTGAGCTGTCCTTACTTAGTAGCTCCAAATTGGTTATAGATGCAGCTTGAACTCAAATAAACAAACATTGCCTCCCACCAGTATTGGGGTCGTTACTCAGAAAAAGTAATGTATTGCACATTAGTCGTTACTTTTAAAACAGGCAATGCATTAGTTTATATATTTACTGCCTGTGGAAATTAATTTGATACAGTTTTTTCTGCATATTGCCTGAGGTACATCGTTGCATAATTGCCAGTTAACATTAGCCTTTAACATTAAACCTTACAAATGGCACTAAGCTGAAGTCAGCTTCTTTTTTGCCAGCTTCTTGTCGTTGGAATTCGTTTGAATTTTCCCATTCCACCTTAAATGGTGCAGCAGTTACATTCTGGCACCAGAGTTTTGGAGGGATTTATGAGATTCAATGTGGAAAAAGCGATGAAACTACACAGAGAGCAGTAAAAGGTTATCAGCTAACCAAAGAATAGATGTGGTTCGGCCATAGACGTTACTTTCCGCTGGATGAGCGAGTTTGGTGTGGAAGAACTTGACTTTTACTTCTTGAGATGTTCAGGTATGCAGCACACATGCTGTATACCAGGAGTCAGCAACATGTGACCCTGTTGCGGCTCCACAACAGAATTAGATTTTTGGGTAAAAATAAAATAATCCTCTTGCAGTAAAATAAGGCTCTGCTGATTGTTCTGACACAGTTTTAACAATACATGGTCTTAAATGCTGGAGTTAATGTACACTATATTGCCAAAAGTATTCGCTTGTCTGCCTTTACACGCATATGAACTTGAGTGACATCCCATTCTTAATCCATAGGGTTTAATATGATGTCACTGCACCCTTTGCAGCTATAACAGCTTGAACCCTTCTGGGAAGGCTTTCCACAAGGGTTAGGAGTTTTGTGGGAATTTTTGACCATTCTTCCAGAAGCGCATTTGTGAGGTCAGACACTGATGTTGGACGAGAAGGCCTGGCTCGCAGTTTCTGCTCTAATTCATCCCAAAGGTGTTCTGTCAGGTTGAGGTCAGGACTCTGTGCAGGCCAGTCAAGTTCTTCCACACCAAACTCGCTCATCCATGTCTTTATGGACCTTGCTTTGTGCACTGGTGCGCAGTTATGTTGGAACAGGAAGGGTCCTCCCCAAATTGTTCCTTTCACGCTCCAAGTTGGGAGCATGAAATTGTCCAAAATCTCTTGGTCTGCTGAAGCATTAAGAGTTCTGTTCACTGGAACTAAGGCGCCGAGTCCAATTCCTGAAAAACAACCCCACACCTTAACTCCCCTCCACCAAAACTTTACACTTGGCACAATGCAGTCAGACAAGTACTGTTCTCCTGGCAAGAGCCAAACCCAGACTCGTCCATCGGATTGCCAGATGAAGAAGCATGAATTGTCACCCCAGAGAACACGTCTCTACTGCTCTAGGGTCCAGTGGCAGTGCTTTACACCACTGCATTTGACGCTTTGCATTGCGCTTGGTTTTGTAAGGCTTGGATGCAGCTGCTCGGCCATAGAAACCCATTCCATGAAGCTCTCTACGCACTCTTCTTGAGCTAATCTGAAGGCCACATGAAGTTTGGAGGAGATGTGTGAGTGAATACTGAAAAGTAATGTCAGGACATTAACTTTCACTTGTGAGGCAGCACTGTAACCCTATCTGGACTAAGCGGTTGTGGATGATGATGGTGATGATGGTGATGATGATGTTGATGATGATGATGATGATGATGACGATGTTGAGGCAGCATTTACATTTGATGTTGTGGCAATTTGGCAATGTGGAAAAGTTCAACACACTAACCGCTATTTTTCAGCACTGAGACACACTGTTGTTACAACATCATGACATGCAAAATGCATGCTGGGAAGCCACATTAAGCAAGACCACTGATTTATATAAAAGAAAGCTGCTAAAGGAGAGAGTCCACCAGTTCGAGGTTTGACACTTACCTGTTACATGAACTGTGTATTTACATGTATGTGTTCTTGTATATGTATGTGTGCATTTTATCAGCGTACATTAGATACTCTGGTGCAGTTTCCCCTTAATTGGGAAATGAAAATGATCATTTTCCATGACATCTGGGTAGATGTTAAACCTGATTTACAGTATAGGTGTCATATCGGCATTGGTGCACAATAGAGGGGTAGGGACTACTGCTCAGCTTGACCTAACAACTAACAGTGATTGATAAAGCACTGAAACCATTTACATCAAAGAAACTCCAAAAGCAGTCTGTCCACAATAATGTGATTGGATTACTAGCGAGCCAGTGGTCTTAACTAGCAGGGCGACAAACATAAATAAAGAGTGAACTGTACTGCAGCAGGTGAAATGCACCAATACAGGATAGATTTCAGAGGTAATTTATCATGAAAGGCATGTTTTCCAGACTAATGTATATAGAATGTTGACTACTGTAAAATAGTACAAAACACTGCATGCACAGCATTACTGAAAATAAAATGAAAGACACAAATATCAGGGTTCCTTTCTCTTTGTAAATTTTGAATTCCCAGAGTCCTCCCAGATCAAAGCCCCAGTTCATATTGGCCATATAAATATATTTTGTAGGAAGACTGATAAATCAGGCTTGAAACAATTGATGGAATGAATTGTTTGTTGACTTTGCAGTGCCAATGACTTCTTTTTAAAAGAAGGTGGCACTGAACCCCATCAAAAAAGAATGTTTTTAAATATCTTTATTCCAGGGAAACCATGGTGAAATACACAGTTGAAGTCTTCACAGGTGATGCTTTCACTGCTGGGAACGCCAATGCCGTCTTCATCAAACTCATTGGTACAAAGGGTAGCAGTGAACCACAAATCCTTGATCGCTTTACAGGCATACCAGGCTGTTCAGTAAGTTTCTTGCATTTTATTACAATATATTCTTTTTTTTACCATTACATTATGTTTAGTGATGGTTTTAAATGAGTCTTAGCATTAATCCTGGGACTGGATGCACAAAACTCTTCTCACCTTTTTAAGAACATTCTTAAACATTCTTAAACTTAGCCTGGCACTTATCTTAAACTGTGCATTAAGGGAAGCTTCTGGGGTCTTTTGATATATTAACATTATAAATAAAAGTATTTTGCAGTTTGATATTAATTACAACTTAAGCACTATGATGTAATTCTACCCAAAAAAGTACCATTACTGCAAAAAAGTACTAGAACAGGAGTAGTTGCAATTTGTTACTTTCTTTCTCTAAAAAAATGACACTTCTTCCTGACCACTAAAAATATACATATTTCTATGTATATTAAACACTAATTGACTACGATGGTAGACTTTTGGAGCTATCCTACTGATGATCCCTCAAAGCCATCAGGAGCTGGCTTACAGTGATGCATATATAAGAACCTTGTTCTTTAATGAATGCAAAAATATAATCCTGAAGGTTTGCTGGCTCTGTTTGGATGAAACAGTGCAATGACATAAATTAGCTCTGTATGATAATCTAGGGCAATATAGCCAATTAATTATAGCAATGACACACACTCCCATTTATGTTCTATTGCTTAATTATTTGCCAGTGTTGAGTGTGTTTGAAATGCTAATTCACCAAGATCTTTTTACAATAATGACTTTTTTTTTGGACCAATTTTCTTCTCAATTTAGTTGTGGCCAGTTCCACCTAGGTCTCACCTGTCATGTAATACTACCAAGCTAGGAAAGTGAAGGCTTCCTCTAAGTCACAGGAAGCCAGCCCATGAAATCTTTTTGGTCTGCCACTAACAGAAGTAGGGCTACAACTAACAACGATTTCCATAATTGATTAATTGGTTCATTATGGCTTCAATTTCATTTTCAATTCAATAATCAAGTCAAAAAGTCTATATTCCACATCATAATCAGTGTTTCTTTTAAGAAAGTAAAAATACAAGGATTAATTCTCCTTTTGCAAAATTGTCTTTCAAACATAAAACACCCACCTCACCCATCGTCTATTTTACTTTTATCAAGATGAAAGAGATGATTGGCACTTTGTATTGAGGGGTGGGACATTTACAAACTTTCCCATTCACATTTTAACAGTGACTGGTCTCTTCATTTGTAACATCTCTGTTGAAAAGCCAACAACATGCTGTTTTTTAACTCTACAGTTTTGCTGTGGTTTACTCACATGCTGAGCTTTTGTCATTTTCTCCCGTGAATGTGTTTCCTTGAGATTGTCACTAATGACCGACACACTGTCATTATTCTCACAGGAAACCACTCTTAGATAAAGTTAAAATGGTGTTCCCAGATTTTGTCCTGTGCTGTAGTCTGAGCCATCTGGATTTTTCCTCTTTCATTCAAGCGGGAAGTGCAAACATCAGCTAATCGATAGCAAGATTCATTGCCAACAATTTTTTATTATTGCCATTATTGATAACGTTGATTAGTGGCAGCCTGTAAACAAAGCATTATTGGACAGCTCAATGCCGACCGTTGCGTTAGCAGAGAGAGAGATCAGGCCGACCTACAACTGAGAGAGAGACCAATTATACTTCCAGCCACAGGTGACTGTAGCATCGCTGGGGACACTTGTCAAACAATAACATACAAACATTCAACTAACTAATCGGGTGCTTCTGCACTGTATGTGGCAGAAGGTTTTCAGGGAGATGTACTTCACTCATAACTTGCATTGCATTGGCATGCCCCATAGTATCCTAACAGCATGTTAGTAATCTGAATAATACATTCTCCAACAGAAGACGCTGACTGTGTCCTGCAAAGAAAGTCTTGGAACGTTCTTTCTGGTTCAGTTGGAGCTCAAGGCACTTGTGTTTGAAGATTACTGGTTCTGTTCCAAAGTTATTGTCACTGAACCTGAAGGACGCCGGCTGCTGTTCCCGTGTTACCAGTGGTTGTCTCCTAAGAAGAAGGCAATTCTCAGAGAGGCTACAGGTTTGTAACCACAAATATAGCAGTGTAAGAATATGCAAATTTATATTTATGCTCACCCCAATATTGATCACACATGTTAGGATGTGTTATAAGCTGTGGTAGATCTAGAAAATTTACCAGGGGTGGCAAAGGGGTGTTAGGGAGTTTCGACAGGGTGTGCAAGTGGGTGGGAGGGTTTAGAGGTCAGACAGTTGCAATGCTGATTGCCGAAAGCAAAACAACTCTCCTCCTAAAGGCGCAAACAACTGCTCCACAGTGAGGTGGAAGCCAATGATGTGGCTGAAATCTCCGGGTGGTGTCTTGGGTGGCTAATCACATTTCAAGGACGGCACTAGCCACTTTAGCCACCCCTTTAAATCCACGCATGATTATAAGGGTGTTGGAGGAGAAACTGACGCAGCTTGTGACACTTCATTTGTGTGCTTTGTCTGCAATGCATTGAGACACCATTCCTGCCTTCCCTTTCGCCTCAAAGACATTCCCTCAAGTCATCATGACAGTACATAGCTTTAGGAAGCTACTCCAAGAGTGATGCTGCCTAAGATGTTAGTACTTCTACTTTCACTGTTTTAAATTAACAGGTTTCTATCTACTTTCTGTCTACTTTCTATTCTGTTCTATTACAGAAGAAATAAAAAAGCTGCCTTATTTAAATGGAACATCTTGCCACTTATAAAAAGAAACTCAACTTCATATCATGTATATTTTGATGAGGGTTTTTGTCTTCTAACACTCAATTTACTTCAGTTGAAGGTAATTTCAGAGTGAAATTAAGCTAATTAACCACAAGGACATTTTTTCTTGACCTTTTTTTACCCATCTTTACCAAAGCTGCCAATAATAATGGAACTGGCTGTAAATGTTTATAATATAAAAATGATTGAATAATCAGATTTATTTGGATTTATTCATTTTCCCATTTTCTGTGTAGCTAAGTTAAGCCACAAGGACACAGAGGAGATAGCCATTCGCCATCGGCGTGAAGATGCTGCAAGAAAACGTGAGGACTTCAGGTAAGTGACACCCCTCCAAAATCAGTCTAACCAGTCTGATGTGATGTGTTTTCCCATTGGATGCTTCTTTTAGTTTTGCACCGGAGCTACGTGGCTAATACAGGAAATAAGCAATGAAACCTCACAGCCTCCAGTTTAGCACTGTGCAGACTTACTTATGCACATAAAAAACAGTATAAGAGAAGAATAGAAAATAGAGAAAACAAAATGAAATAAAAATAAGAATGTATAAAAAATAATACTAAAGTTAACAATAAAAAATACAGAAAAAGTAGAAACAACAAAATGGTTAAAACAAGGTAGTGAAGCTCAGAGAGGAAACATAGATATATACAAATATATAAAATAAAAAAAAAGAAATAAATCATTGCTCATAAAATGTCAAATGTCACAATACATATAAAAACCAGAGAAAAGCTTTGTAAAACATCGTTTATTCCTCTGTATTGGAGTGAGAACTGTGTACAAGCTGCAGTTTCTCTATATTCTTTTTAGATAAGTCAATGAAAAAAGACAGAAAATTGAAATGGGAGAAAAGAAAAAGTTCTTAGCATCATGCAGTGTGAGATATGGTCTGACTGTGCTGACTGTGGGTGTTGATAAATTATACCATAACACGCTTTTCTGAGCATATCATGGATATCATCAGTACTTACAGAACACTGACTAACAATGTTTCATTACAAAGTGAGCAGAATTAGGCTTGTTTTATTTGGTTTAGTGCATTTTGTAAAGGATTGAATAAAAATTGTTGTAGTTGTAGGTTTATTATTATTATTGTTATTATTATTGTGGTGTTTTTATATATGTTTCTGCAGGTTCACATTAAATCTCTGAAAAAACAAAATATTGTGACATATATCATGTATTGTAAAAATGTCATGAAGTATTGTGATATATTTTTGTCAAATTACCAACCTCTAGAAAAAATCTTGTCTTATTTGCACTGTCAATGTGAGGCTTAAAACTGAGGACATGTACTTTAGATTTAATATATGTTATTAAATGTGATAGTTTGCTAATTTTGTTTTAACCTTATTTATTCTGGTAACACTGATCGCCCTAAATGCTTGTCTTTAAGCAGTTAGGACTCACCTCCTCCATCTGAACTTTCAGTTCTTCTATAAAGAATTTCTTCTTTCTGTTTTACTCTGTCTGCAGGTAGTAACGCACTCTGTGTGGATGTTTTAACGCCTCATATGTTCAAATTATCACGTTTGCAGGTGACATCATTTAAGCAGCTGTTCAAAGTTGGCACATTTTCACATGTGAAAAAACATTTGTTTGTGTAATCACGTGAAAAAATGTATGCTTACTTTTAAACACTTTTTTTTGCACAACTCACGTGAGATATAGATGACTTTTCTGTAAGTGTAATCAGCTGCACAAGCTAAATTTTAACATGCATTTTGTGCTCACCATAGTAAATCTTGACCCCAAGTGTCCAATCCTTGCAGTTCTTTGCTGATGCAGTACACAATACTTATTTTTTATCTCAAAAATGATCCAGTGTTGTAGAGTATTTGTTGTGCAAAACTCAACTCTTCCAGCTCCTGTTGGGTTTAATCTAGGCAAGCATCTTTATTGTTCCAAGTAATTTTGTAATTATACCATCAGAAGCAGAAGAGGCATTTAAAGAAAGTCCTAGAAGTCTATTAACAGTGGATTTTCCTTTCCAAATCTGAAAGTAGGTGTGGTCTGTGACCTCAATTATATGCATTTACAACAGCGTAATGGAGTGTGCTGTGTGTCTTACAGATGGAGTGTGTATGACTCTGAAATGCCTCACATTGTACAGGCGGACTCAGCAAGCAGTTTGCCTTATGAGATCAGATTCTCCTTCACGAAGGAAAAGGAGTTTCAGTACTCACTGTTGAGAGCGTAGGTTCCACCTTGTAATTTGATTAATATGTGTGTTGGTGGTTCACGTTTAACACATCTTGCTATTTTTCTTACTGTATTTCAGTTCAGTGGACTTAGAACTAAACAACTTTCATCATCCCACAAACACATGGAACAGCATGGAGGAACTTGAGGCTCTCAAGAGGAACTTGACTGGAACCCATGGTATTTTTTTCTCGAAACATGGAATGCATTGTTAGATCTGACCACCACCACCATAACACAGTGATCTGTCTATACTTTTTTCCAGAATACATCAAGAAACATTGGATGACCGACACATTCTTTGGCTACCAGTTTCTGAACAGCCTGAATCCCATGATGATCAAGCGTTGCTCAAAGCTGCCCAAGAACTTTCCAGTCACTAATGACATGGTCATCTCCTCTTTACCAAAAAAGAGCACTTTGGAAAAAGAAATGGAGGTACAGTGTGAAAAACAGCACTTTGAGTGATTGACCACTGATTACATTTGTACTTTTTTCTGATTTCTCTTTAAATGTGTTCAATCAGAAGGGAAATATCTTCCTGTGTGACTATGCAAGACTAGATGGAATTGAGGGAAATGTGATAGACGGGAAGCAGCAGTATTTGGCTGCCCCTCTTTGCTTACTCTTCAGCAATCCTCAGGGCAAACTGCTGCCCATCGCCATCCAGGTAAGACCTCAGACTGCTGAAGATATTGTTTACTATTGTGTTTAACTGCAAATGAACATAAGCAAGGATTAACCCCTTAAACCAGCCAGGACCCGCCAGGGGTCCAGAGCCATTCCTCGTAGAGTTTAAACCTTTCCACTCCGTTGAATAAAACTTTCAAAGTTTCAAACTTTCTTTCTCTTAGCTGAAGCAGAAGCCTGAGGCAGAGAACCCCATTTTCCTCCCTACTGACTCCAAGCATGACTGGCTTTTGGCAAAGCTCTTCGTGAGAAACGCAGATTTTAACGAACACGGGCTGAACTTCCATCTGCTACGCACTCACCTGTTGGCTGAGGTCTTTACCATGGCAACCCTGCGCACCCTGCCCTCTGTTCATCCCCTCTTTAAGGTGGACGCTTTATTTCAGTTTATTTCAGAAACACAGGAAAGCTTTGGTACACATGCAGAAAAGAGAACTACTTGAGATCAACAAGGACAACTTTGAGGAACACAAAGCTTTCTTGATGATGAAAAACCTAATGAAAACTTACATCTCCTTGTAATGCACACTCCTACAAAAGATGGCTCTTCAAGGGTTCTTTAAAAAGGCGATTGTTCTATTTAGAACCATGAATTCTATATAGAACCATTTTATGCTTAAATGTTTTTTTGCATGGTGAAATGGTTCTTTAGATTGATTGAGAATGTTTTCTATATAGACCCTTTTTGAGAATGGCTCTGTCTACCATTTTTGGTGCTATATAGAACCATATCCAACACATTCTCCATCAATCTGAAGAACCATTTCACAATGTAAGTAGTAAGTAAGTAAAGTTTATTTATATAGCGCTTTTTACAACAGGTGTTGTCACAAAGCAGCTTTACAAGGAAATGAGCATTACAAAAAGAAGTCCGGGTCCGAGCCCCCATGAGCAAGCCAGTGGCGACAGTGGCAAGGAAAAACTCCCTAAGAGAAACAGGAAGAAACCTTGAGAGGAACCAGGACTCAGAAGGGGAACCCATCCTCCTCTGGTCGACACCGGATAGTAAACATTGTTAGTATAAATGCAAAGAACCATTTAAGTATATAGCACTAATAGTTCTAAATAGAACTTTTGCATTTACTAACTTGAAGAACTATTTTTTAAGGATGTACAGCAAGGCAATTGTTACCACTTCACATAGGGGCATTTGCTCCAGTTAGTGCCACCAGACCAAAGGTTGATTTCTGCCAGGAGCACATAGATTTAAATTGAGTACATTTGTTGTCCCCTCTATTTTACAACTTCTCTTTTTCTGTTTTTTGAGGCAGCATGATTATTTAGCATTTTAACATTTTTTTTGCACAGGGACAAATACTCCAGACGAGTGTTTGTTTACCCCAGACTCTTAAAGAAAAACTACAGAGCTGAATAAAAGCCAGTTAGAACCAAATAGCACTGTGACAATGAAATTCCATACCTTGAAAGTTGCACCTCATGCAAAAGTACTCAAGAAAATGTACACTGTTGTATGGTCTTCATTTTCTTGAGCATTTTGGTTGCTTGAGGTATGGTATGCTATCAAGGTATGGAATTTTTTTATATCAACTGATATAAACATAAATAGAAACGGTTAAGGAGCTTGTGAACTGTTGTTTAGTAATAAGATAATGCAATGGTTTGCTCTTTATCTCACAGCTTCTGTTTCCTCATATTCGCTACACTCTCCAAATCAATGTCTTGGCGAGGAAACAGCTGGTATCAGCTGATGGAGTTTTTGCTATGGTATACATATTTCCTTTAAGATCTTTATCATTCCAAAAGTATACTGTTTTGTGGAAATGTATATGATAATTAATGTTAGTATTCATGCCTAACTGGATTTTTTGAGTGATGGGTCTTCTTTTCACATCTTTACCACACAGCACTCTGCTTTAGGACATAAAGGACTGACTACATTCCTAAAAAGAGCTACTGCCAGTCTGACCTATAGCTCTCTGTGTTTGCCGGACAACATTAAGGAGAGAGGCCTGGAGAACATTCCCCATTGCTACTACAGAGATGACGGCCTCAAGCTGTGGAACATCATTCACAAGTATGATGGAGCTACTTTGAGTGCATACTTATATACCAGGCAGTATTTTTATACATGTATGACAATGAAGATGTCTGTGTAAATGTTCAAGCTGTCATGCTAACTGTGAACCCTCCAGGTTTGTGCATGGGGTATTGGCACATTACTACACCGAGCCTGACGTCCAGGAGGACACTGAGCTCCAGACGTGGCTGACGGAGATCGTAGAACGCGGCTTTCTGAAAAATGACAACAGTGGTGTGTGCTGTGATTTCAGTTATTTTGGGGCTGGCTTAACAGACCTACTGGAAATGACACTGTAATCATTTTAAGTTTTTCTGTGAATGAAGCATGTAAACTATTGTCTGTCAGGAATTCTGTTGTCCATTCGTCTAAAATGTTATTTCCTTCCCACTGTTAGGAATCCCCAAGTCTTTCCACACAGTAGCTGAACTCGTCAAGTTTGTCACCATGTTGATCTTCACCGTGTCGGTCCAACATGCTGCAGTCAACAATGGCCAGGTTACACAATATCATTTTGCTTAAAGAGTAACTACACCATAAGACCTTTTTTCATTAACAGCTAAAATGCACTGCTCTGTAATATAAAAATATACCAGCCTTGCTTAAAATGTGAACACATCTTTCCAAACTGTAAAAATATCATTTTATCACCCCTGATGATGCCCTACTCATGCCGCTCTCATAAATATGAAAACAGGAGCTGAGAGCGAGGAGATACCTACACTCACGCACTGAGCTAATTCCCCCCAGCACACCTCTCAAGGCTATGATATGCCAGCTGTCTGTGCCAACAGTAAATAACCCAGTTTATCTAAGCTTAGTTTGTAATAAAGATGTTGGACTGATTAAGTGAGGATTCTTGTGAGTCTTTATAAAGCTGCCAGTGTTGCATCCGATGCATGTTTCCCATCACAACTCAAAGCCTCAGGTGCCAGTGTCAGTGGCTCATACTGTTAAGGCTCAAGACGCACTGCCTGATCAGAACACCTTCCCTCGTCGAAGATGGGGATGGTAGTAGAGAAAAATCGGCGACCTCTTAAGACCTCTCAGTTGCAAAAGTACTGTTTGATTCTGTCACCATATTTGCTAGTAGCTAACATACACTAGCTCTAAAAACACCAGCCCAGTCCACCTGGTTTCCCTCCGAGCCCCTCCTCCAAACCCGTACATCATTGCAGTACCCCTCCCAGCATGCCCTGCCTATTTTTGAGCATTTTTCAAAGTTGAGCCAGGGGTGGAGTTAGCTGAAAATAGTGGGGTGTAGTTACTGTTTAAAGCAGATTGTGACATTTCATAATGAAGTTGAACATGTACCAGTGTTCACAAGACATATTAATTATTAGTTTTTTAAACTCCAGTCATTAAGAAATCCATACAAACCTGTCAATAACTAGACAACACTATCTATAGCCAACTGTAGATAACAGCAAAAAGTGTATCTAACCTAGCATGTTAGATTAACGCTAGGAAGGCCATAACAAAATAACAAACCATAATAGAATCCATTCTAAATCATTAACATCAGTGTTAATTTCATTGATTCAATGTTCCTATATAATGTTGATTCTTAATCATATTTACACCCTGAATTAATATCTAAACAATACTAAAAGTTTAACAAAAAATCAACATAACACCAGTGTTACGTCAATCCTTTTTCAACCCTTAGAAAATCAAAGCCACAGATGCCCAATCCTGGTCTACTACCCTGGAAAGTTCAGATCCAACACACATGGCTCTAATATTCGGATGCCACAGAAGGCCTTCACACCTGGATCAGGTGTGTTAGCTTAGGTTTGGAGCTAAACTCTGCAGGGTAGTAGACCTTCAGGACCTGAATTGGGCACCACAGATCAAATTCAACCTGCTTAATTGACAGCAGTGGTCTCCAATCCTGGTCCTGGAGAGCTACCTTCCTGCAGACCGTAATTCCAACCACAATTTGCCACACCTGCTAATCAACCTCTTACCAAGTACCTAATTGGCTGGATCATATGTTTTAGAGTTAAGTAAGGGACACGGCAGCTCCTTGGATACAGGTTGCAACTAAAGTCTGCAGGAAGGTAGTTCTCCAGGACCAGGGTTGGAGACCAGTGATCTACAGCAAGGATAATTTCTGAAAAAGCCAACTGGCCAAAGACAACCAACACTTTTCATTGGTTTCTTTATTCAGATTTATTAAATAACCAAATAAGTAGGAAATGAACTGCAATAATGCCATAATAGTCATATACTCAAACTGTCAGTAATTCTTAAACACCAGGCAACTGGCTTACTTCATGAGATCTCCTATTTCTTTGGATGCTGTTAAAAATTAAAGTTGTGTTTTTAATCAGTTTTTGTGCAAGAAGTATAAACGTAAGAATATTTCTCTGTTGCTCTATTATTTGAAAATCACACAGTCACTGCATGGTAGGTAGCATATCTTAACCTTAAGATTTAGTTAATTTAACTTATCTATTTCTTCCTCATTGCTGGATATAGTTTGCCAAAATACAGAATATGCACTAAAATTGATGCATTGTTATCATATTTTCTACCACCCAGTGCCAAATATACTCTCTTACTCACATGATGCACTGAATCAGATTTCACAAAACATGTTAGGCATCTTCACTCTTCAGTCCTTAAGTAAACTTTTTGTTTTGGGCGAGACTGATTAAATTCAAAATCTAATTTTGTTAAACTCATACACACACAGTTGCTTAAGCTGGATGTTAAACGTTTGTTTAAAAAAGTGAGAGGAAAAGCTCTATAGATATACTCCCTACCTAATAAAAGTGAGTGTGCAGACACCTGTGGGTGGAAAACAAAATTAGGTGCTTTCTCCCTCTTTTTGGTGATTATGTTTAAACGAGAGTGTCTGAGATGCTTTGTGAACACAGGCCTTATAGAAAGGTTAGTTGCATGGACCAAACTCAAAGAGTGATGATCTAAGCACTGGCTTTTATGTCCTAATGAATTGGTTAATGGAGCTGATCTTGACTCACATGGATCCTGACCTTGTCTGTTCTTTCAGTTTGACTTTGGAGCTTGGATGCCCAACTTTCCCAGCACCATAAAGATTCCTCCTCCCACCAGAAAGGGACAAGCAACAGCAGACTCCATTGTTGCAGCCTTACCTGATGTGAGAAGCACACTTAAATGGATCGCTTTGTTTCACCTGCTGAGCAAGAAGTCCTCAGATCATGTGAGTCCAAATCCACCACCAAGAGACTCTGTGCCTGATGTACTAAGCCTTTTGCTTCAGATTCTGGTGTAATTCTAACGCTTTCTGCCCGTGTGTCATGTGCAGAACTGCATATGAGCCTAAACATGCAATTTCTGGGCAGTGTGCATGAAAATACTTCTCTCCTTAATGCATATGCATGTGAGAAGATTGGGTGGAGAAGTTAGATGTGCGTCTGATTACATATTCAGCCCCATTTGCTAAAGTTTGAGCAACTAGCAACGACTGGTTTTGGGTTTTTCTCTGCTTGTTAAAACAAGCTATAGAGGGGGTAGTGTTAACTTCACTGGTGATTCTAATGCTGATTCTTAATCATATTTACACCCTGAAGTAATATCCAAAAACAAAAAATCAACATAACACCAACGTTACCTCAATCCTTTTTAACCCTTAGAAAATCAAAGCCCAATCCTGGTCTACTACCCTGGAAAGTTCAGATCCAACACACATGGCTCTAATATTAGGATGCCTCAGAAGGCCTTCACACCTAGAACACACCATTACAAATGGATCAGGTGTGTTAGATTAGGGTTGGAGCTAAACTCTGTAGGGTAGTAGATCTTCAGGACCTGGATTGGGCCCCATTGATCAAATTCAACCTGTTTAATCGACAGCAGTGGTCTCCAATCCTGGTCCTAATTTAAACCCTATATGTAATTTAACATAGTACAGAGACAACATATTCAACATAAATGTTGAAACTGAGAAATTTAATTGTTTTTTGAAAAAATATTTGCCCATTTTGAATTTGATGCCAGCAACACTTTCCAAAAAAGTTGGGATGGGGGCAGCAAAAGGCTGGTAAAGTTGTTTAATAAGTCTTTAAGAAGTAAAGATGAGGAGGGGTTCAACACTCTGTGAAAGACTGTGTGAACAAATAGTGCAACAATTCAAGAATACCGTTTCTCAATGTAAAATAGCAAAGAACTTTTGTTTTTCATCATCTACAGTACATAATAACACTAAAATATTCAGAGAATCTGGAGAAATCTCTGAATTTTAGTGACAAGGCCAAAACCCAGTATTTGCTGGACATGATCTTTGGGCCTTCAGGCGGCACTGCATTAAAAACAGACTTGATTCTGTAGAGGAAATCACTGCATGGGCTCAGAAAAACTTCTGAAAACCACTGTCTGTGAAAACAATTTGTAACTCCATCCACAAATTCAAGTTAAAACTCTAAAACCACATATAAACAGAATCTAGGAATGCTGCCAACAACCTGAGCCCGAGCAGTGAAATGTAGCAGTCACCGGTCAATGATGTGTTTAGGTGGACCAGTGGACCCAACCCATGCCATGAGAACACACCCCACTCCCGTAATGAACCACCAAAAGTCTGCACAGTGCCTTGTTGACAACTACGGTCCATGGCTTCATGGGGTCTGCGCCACACGCAAACCATACCATCAGCCCAAAATGATTGATACTGTGACTCATCGGAGCACGCCATATGTTGCCAGTCCTTTAGGGTCCAACCTCACAAGCCCAGGTGATGCACTGTGTCTGGTGTTGTAGTGTTAACAGAGGCACTCTGGTGGGTCTTCTGCTCTCATGTCCCATGGAAGCTAAAGAACGCTGCACTAACCTGCGGGATATGCATGTGGGACCTCTTGCATTGAATGTGAATGTGATTTCTGCCACAGTTGCTTGTCTGTTCACATGGACAATTCTAGCCAGACATGAGCAGTACATTCTTGTTTTTCACACTTTTACTGGACATAACCATTGTGATGTTTTGAAACAATGATCTCTTTTCTTTATATTCCTGCAGTATCCTCTTGGATATTACCCAGAGGAGCACTTCATTGAGGCCGTTCCCCTTCAGAAAATGGAACAGTTCAGGAAAGATCTGAAAGCTCTCGAGGGTGAAATAGAAGCAAGAAACAAGAATCTTGAGCTTCCGTATGATTACTTAAATCCGAAGAATGTGGATAATAGTGTAGACATTTAAGAACATGGATAATCAGTCTGATGGCAATGCATAATCAATTTGCTGAAAAGATTCTGATCACACTCCAAACAGATTTTCCTGTTCTTTCATTCTGCTTCTGTCTTCTACCACATATTGCATATGATAATTCTTAAACACTGCATTCCACTGATATTTAACATTTAGAAATGAGGTAATGCATTGTTGGCTATGTTACAATTTTGGGGTGGTACTTATTCTATCAGGTAGCTACTTTTTCACAAGCAACATTAATGTTTAAGTGGGTTTTAAAGCAAATCAGTCTGACCTGTAGACAGATGAAGGTATCCTGCTAACCAGTTATACATTCATGATAGGAATCTGAATCTAATGTTATTATGATGCATAATTTGTCAGCATGAACCTCTGACTGCAACAACAAAGTTACATGAATGCATGCATTACAGCCCAAATGCTTGCTTGCTATAAAATAAAGCTAATGGTGGGGAATCCAGAACTAATGGTTCACTTTTATTTGAATTTAATCATGATGTGAAAGAGACCAGCAGGTAAGTGAAATTCCATCAGTGGAATATGAAGTTAAGCACTAAACTGGATATTAAAGAGCCTTTTCAATGTCCTTTTGGATGTTAGTAATGTCTTGTCTAATATGACCTGATTCAGAGTAGCACTGTACCTAACTACCAATCAATATGATGATAGGATAGGATGATATGCACTGCCCCCTACTGTTTAGTTTCACCTAACCTTTCTAGAACTGCTCTAGCTCTCAGCCTTACAGAGCTGGATCAGATGTGTTGGATCAGGCCAGTGGCACAGGTTTCATTTCAACTTTTGGGGGGCACACTCTTCATACCAAAATATCCAAAATATTAACATTAGGGATATACTATCATAAATGTAATGCTAGAACTATATAGTTATACTATAATTCGAATTACTATAATTGTATTTTTTAGACATATTGCACTATGAATCTGTATGTCATTAGAACTATTCACAATTATAATGTAGCAGCATTACAGTTTTGTAACTTGCTTTTTTAATAACTTCATTAACATTAGCTAGCTGCTGCTAACAAATGAGGCGACATAGTCTTTTTTAGATCAGAGTTAGAGCTTGCAATATCAATTATCATGCCTATTATCACAGGCACTTTGCTTAATTAACCTTAGAACACTAGAAAAGGGAATCTGAGACACACAAATGATATCACTGACTGCACAGTTACATATGGATATAGACCATAGTTGCTAAGAAAGATCATTTAAAAATAATGGTAACTTTTTATTTTTAGCAACACATATTGGAGGTATTGGGCACGTTCAATCTCAAAACATTTTACCCCGTTTTGCTATGGTTTCGGGGTTGAACGACATGTTTTGTCGAAACAGTGCACAATGGGACCAGAACCTCAAGGAATTTGCCAGGGTAAGCATGTCCCTCCCTGTAGGCTGCTGCAGCTACATGTGAGGAGTCTGTGGAGATGTTGCTGTTAGAGCCTCAAGCCAGTTCAGCCTCTCCTCCGCTCACTCTTTACTATCACCTGTAAGAGCATGCACATCAGTCAGCTCCAAGCAGCAAGTAAGAATGCAAAAGTAGGGCTTGGCGATGTGATGATATTTATTGTTACTGTGCTAAATTATGTCACAGTACAGTCATATGCGAAAGTTTGATCCGGTCAAATTGCATGACTTATTAGTTTTCTAAGAGAAAACTAGTTTACACATCCTCTACAGAGAACACATGTGAATATGGCATTTTTTTCAAATTTTAGTGCACAATTTGTATTTATTTGCTTAGATTAAGATATGAGAAAAAATAGAACAAAATAAAAAAATGTGCCATAACTTTTGCACTGGCCACATTTTATGTAAAATATGACAAGGGGCGCCCAAATATTTATGTCTGTACTAAGAAAACACTGACCAGCTGCTTGATTCAAAGATAGCATAATTTGTCTTGTTTAATTGGAAGTAGTGCTACACAGTATGTGAAATGTTGAATACAAATCATTGCATTCATAAGCCCTATTTGAGCTACATTAGTTAGTTTTAGAGGACGTCTGGTTAAGTAATAAGCTAACACACTTCTAAGACATAAGGACAGAATCACTCTGCCTTGAGTTACCTTCAGTTATTTAATTTCATTCTGCTTCTAATTAATTAGCCCATCGTCAAAAATATTGTATATTACAGTGGTCCTGTTTAAAGGAACTGTGCCAAGGGCTGCGTTTTTGCAGTTAGCCTCATCTCCCGGTCACCAAAAAACAGATCCCGAAGTCGCCTGCTAAAAAAACAGGACAGACCTGGTTTAGGCTTGTTTAGTGCTGGTAAGTCATAAGACTCGAGTCCAACTCAAGTCATAAATTTGATGACTTGACTCAAGAACATCGAGAAAGCCTTGACACTCGACTTTGACACCAGTGACACGGACTTGAGCATCATGAATCGAGAGAAACGTGAAGAGTCTGACTGCAGACGGGACTCTCTACACAGTAGAGAGAATGTGAATCAGTTCGTTTTCTGCCATAAATTGAATAAAGAGCTGCGTTGTCAAATGTCTGTTACTGTGCTTATGCTCGGCTTATTTTATTTCAGAAGACGAGTGAAGCATTAGAGCTCAAAGTCACCTCCATAAGCTGGAAACACACGAAACATCAACAGCATCAATGCACCCTCGCTCAGCACTTAAACTCCAGTCTTACTGGAGAAACTTCCCAGGCAAACTGACCATTTTCCTCATTGGAGCAAAACAAAAGAAACACTCTCTATTTGACTGATTTTAACAGCTTCTGCAGGTAATACAAGTGCAACATTCACTACAAAGCTGAAGTTGACTTTTTATTTGTCAGCTTTGTATTCGAATTCATCATACCACCTTAATTGGTGCAGCAGTCAGGCGCATAACTGCGTGGAACGTAACTGCTGCACCATTTACGGTGAACTCTCAGAAGTACCTCTCACAAGACGGTGGAGTGTGGAAAGTGTTTTCTGTCTTGTTGGACGGCATTTAAGTGAAATGTGCCCACTTGACCAGCCTAATGCTACTCTTATCTGGTTGAAACTAGAAATGTGTTTTGTTGTTTTATTGGTTGGACCAGTTTAATTCTAGTCTTAAGGCTAAAGTGAACATCCAGGGTATGATGTTTGGTTAAAGCAAATGGACAAATTCTGTGGAACATGCAGATTCTAATCATTCAATCTGTGTTTGTGATTTATTTTCTGATTTGAGTTTGATGAAAAGTAATGTGCTGAGTACCCTTTTTCATGCAGAAAGAAAAAAATTTTGGGCCTTTTTTGGCAACAAACCAATCATAGGTATGTTAGATGTGTGGCCTCAAAGAGACTAGAATGTAAATGTCATTCATTGTGTAAGTGACCATAATTAATTACAGAATTATTCAATTTCATATAAATAATTGTGTTGTAAATCAAATATACATCAGTACTACACCTCTCAAAGTTTACAGCTGAGCAGTAATTTCATTTTTCAGACAGGTTAATACAGTTGTTGCTGATTTGGTCCTAAAATCGGCCCTGTATTTGTCCTGTTCTGCTCTAGGATCTGATTTTACAGCTCCTGATTATTTAACTCCTGACAGATGGCAGCAGATGAGAGTTTTAGGTCAGTAACTTAAATTAATGTCCCATCAAAATTTTGTGGTTAACCAGCATTTTCTAACTAGCTTGTTCATACATTGGTTTTCTGCAGGTCTTGCCACTGCTGTCCTTCTTCACATAATTCACATGAAAACTGCAAAAACACAGTAATAAACTCTGAAATATTTCAGCCAAAAATAATAAGGTGACTTACGGCAAATGGCAGTTATATAAGAGCTCATGTGCTTAAAGCTAACTAGTCACTGCGTTTGCACATTGAACAGTCTAACTGAGCTGCGTTTTTTTCAAGTTCCATCGATTCATTTTGTAAGTTTTAATTGGCCAACGATAGCTCATTCCAAAATCCTCTGCAGGCATAGTTTAAGAATTCATTTCAGACAGAAATAAACCAGCACCGATCTGCCAAGCTATCACTGAAGTTTGCTTCAGGGGAGCATTGTGAAACCAGCCACTCGAGAAGAACCAAAAAAGTCTATCATCTTCTTGAGAGGCCGACTGCTGGTCGTCTGCCATGTCCGTCCAGATCCGGGTGATTGTGATGCTTTAGGGGTTCATCTCATCAATAGCACCACTCCTACCAGGGATCCTTCATTTAACGGACACACAGCACCAGGGGCTCTCACCCTCTACAAATAACACAGTAAAGCACCCTTACTTCTGTATATGATTCAGTCTCAGCACTGTGTTACTCTGTCTCTCTTTGAATCTAAATTGCTTTATTTTCTTGTCCATTGTATTCAGTGAGGTCACTCTTTTGAAATTACTGTAGTGACTGCTACTGGCTGGTGCTGGCCTCTAGATGCTTGAGAGGCATGGCAATCAGCGAGGCGCATGGCAGTGGGTGCCAGGAAAAGGGACTGTTGTTTATGTTGTTGTTCGTCAGTTAAAGGTATGTAGTATGTGTTTATTGAGTTGCCCTGTGTCAGGGAGTTGGTTTAATTTGTGTTGAGTTAGTGTGGGTTTAATCAGTGTGGGTTGTGGTGGTTGTGGTGGTCACAGTAAAGGTGAAGGGTAAGACCCCCAGTGCTTTGTATGTGCCTTCCTGTCTGATGTTTAATAAAGAGCACTTCTGGTGGTGGAATTATGGCCTCCCCTGTGTTTTACTTGGTGCCAATGCTACCGAATGTTGCTCAACATGATCTTGTGAGGCCTTATTGGTGCTTTGATTGACTGTTTCAATAAATTATTTCACAAAGTTGAGATGGTTGCTGCTGTTACAACTGAGGTTTAAAATGAGTTGCAGGACGCTTTATTGTATGCACCTTAAATTCACATTAGTTTCTTCAATTAAAGTTGCATGTTAGTCAGCAGCCTAAGGCTTGCTGTCATCTACGTTTCTTCAGGACTTAGACTAGCCTTCAATGCAGCATGCACTTTTGCTCTGCAAAACTAAACCTGCTGCATTTCATTAATGCATAAAGTCAGGGCTTGATGGAACAACCAGCCAGTGAAGAAACTGCAAAGATAGTAAGACTCTTAAAAATACTTTACAACTTTCAAATCACGAATGATCTTTTCACCTCTGCCCTTCTTTTAATTGATTTGCACATATGTGCTTCCAGCAATAAGGTATGGCGCCTGTGTAGCACAGTTAAAGTGTGTTCTCTTTTACATATACTGTGGAAGCTGGTTGATTGGGTTTGATGGAACAACCAGCCATTGAAGAAGACCACCTCTTCCAACTCTGACCAAATACTTAGATTTGTCTATGGTAGATGATATAAGAGTTCATTTTATTTATATCTTTTTACTTTTTTATTAATTTGTTTGTACTTTTTAGGTAAAACAGAATACAAACATAGTATGGTCATACTGAGAGGCTAATGAACCAGCATCAATAAGTAAGAAATCCGTCTGGTATGCTTGGTTTGCCAGGTCCTCAAAAAGGGCAAACACGTCAGTTTATCAGTGAGTTTATCAGTGGAGGAATTAGACTTATATCATCCAAGACAAGTGAGGTTTTTCTATCAGGCACATGTGTTTATGGACTGCTCCTGCAAGACACTGGTATTGCCTCTTGAATGTTTCACATTAAGTTCACACTTTATATCATCTCTCAACTGTCGTTCTTTACATATAAGCATTATAAAATTAAATCTCTGTGCACAAATGTTTTAAAAATAAATGCTC